CTCTGGTCTTATTTGAGCACAATAGTTAAATCTCGAAAGGAAAAACAATATATATATTCTCTGACTAGCATACCACCATATAAACACTGGACCACTCTGAAAGAATTATCACAGATGTTGCTCCAAACATTCTTATTTGAGCTCTACAATAGCAAGCTCTCGAAAAATACAAAAAAAATATTTCTGACTAGAGATGCACCATATAAACACTGGGTCATTCTGAAGAAATATATCACATGTTTTAAGGACACAATGAAGCACATATTTTCTAGATTGCATATTGTCAGACATATGACAATGCTACATATAAGAAGCATAAAGACCAAGTTCAATGCTTAGGTAAGACAAAATGAATGTAGCTGCTCTTGCAACCCATGACTAGACTGCAGGCCTCTTAAGTTCTCAATGAAAAATTTCTCGACACCTGACAGGAATGGAAGAACACTTCCTATAGTTAGCGACGGGTTAAGAATTAAACGGAGGCTCCTCCCACCTCTTCCCACTTCAGCAGAGCAAAGGCTGGAGAGGAGCTTGCTTCCTCTCTACTGTTCGCTCTGCTAAAGTGCTAACAGGTGGGAGGAGCTTCCACTTCACTGTTAACCTGTTGCCGAGTATAGCTGCCGCTGTTCGTCAAACACGAGACATGGCTTGCTTGAGCATAAATCCGTTGTTGCCCAGCCAATATTTTCTACTTCCTTCACGGGTCATAGCCAAGGAAAAAGGACTAACCGAGCTCTTGGCAATTGCTGTAATCTGACTATTGCGCCAATCTCAGGCTGCAAAATTAAATGGCCGGCTTGGCCATGTGGATTAAATAAAATAAATAAATCTAATGTTCACTTTCAGGGGGGGTGGGGCTGTGACTGTGGCCAGGGCTGCGGCCAGGGCTTCGGCCAGGGCTGCGGCCGGAGCAGCGGGGTGAGCCGGGGCTGCGGGAGGGGCCGGGGCTGCGGGGGGGGGGGGGGGGGGGGGGGGGGGCCGGGGCTGCGGGGGGGTCCGGGGCTGCGGGCTGCTCCAGCGCCCTGCAGGCCAGCAGGAGGAGCAGTTGGACCAGGGTGCTGTGGGTGTTTTCTTGTCCCGAGGCCGCCCTGTTAAGGTTTGCAGAGATCCGCTCCAGGACCTCCAGGAGCTGAAATGGCAAAGGAGTGTCATTAACATTGGGCAGCATATTTCCATACACCCACAGTCTGCCAAGACCTTGCTCATGCCACAACTGTGTCATTCTGCACCATTGTGGACATGCACTGCTTTCTGTGGCCTCGTGACAGCACCTTGGTCTTAACCTTGTTAGTTGTAAGTGCGTGTAAGGTTAAGTTTGAGCCTGTACCCGGCCTCGGAACTCCCTCTCCTCTGCAGCCTGGTCCATGTTCTGCTGCAGCAGCAGGGCCTGTTGCTCCACGGCCTGGATGGCAGCCGCGTCGTGCCGCTCCTGCCTCGACTGCCGGGGGTGTCGGGGGGGGGGGGGGGGGGGGGGGGTGCGCGAGGCACGGTGGGCCGCACCCACGGCCCCCGGCTTGTCGTTGTGTCTGCCAGGAAACCGAGTATGGGTGATGATGGTGCTCATACCTGCACCACTGATGATAGGTCCCAGATGCCCTAGCAAGAGAGCTTACCTCGTGAGGTGGAGGGTAGGGAGGCTCTAGTGAGGGTGGGCGCAACTCAAAACCTGGAGAGCGTTTGCAATTTAATGGCGGCGCCTGAGGGAGAGGATTCGGGAAAGGATATGCGCCAGTGTTGCCTGCACAAGAGAAGGCGCCCGCTCTGTTGCAACTCTTTTGCTCCATGCGCCTTTCCTCCTCTCGCCTCCCATTGCAAGCAACAAGCGCCTTGGCGTAGCCTCTCTCGCTTCCTTCTCGCTCCGAGAATTGCAAACATCGAGCGGAGAAAGCAAAGTTGCCAGGCAAGCAGCAACGTCCAAGATGGCGGAATTTACCATTTTTCGCGTTAAAAAAATACTTAACCAATCGCAACAAAACTGGTGGCTATGGAAAAAATCATTTATACCTTGTGTAAATTATTCAAGCACCTTAATGGGCTTTTATGACCTGAGTTAGGAAAGAAAACGACCCTTTGCCCCATAGACTCCCAGCAAAATTTAGCAATTAAATGGCGTCCATGTCCCGTGATCGCCGATCTAGCAGTTGCACCCACCCTCACTTGAGCCTCCCTAGTGGAGGGCACCAGCTCGGCTGCCATCTGGCGCCTGCTGCTGCTTGGCCTCTCCTGGAAGGAGAATTTATAACAACTCGTGAGAACACACATCCTTGTCTGTGCTTCCCATGTGTTGACCAAACATTTTGACGAGCATGCATTCTACTCGGAGGAGAACATTTTGAGAATGCCACCTCAGAGGCACTCTCACTTTCTTTTTTTGACAACGTTTCTATTGATTACCGGGATATATGTCTAGTGCTAGCACATCATCTTCCCAAAAATTACAAGCAAGACACCATAGGTATTTATTGCAACAGCCAGGGGCGAGGTGGCAAAAATGACGCATGTCCCTGTTTGGGTGTCAAACATTAGATTTCGCCGCTACATGGAAAGATGCAATGTCTTCCGCTAGAGCTCCTAATATATGCAAAAGGTCAACGTGTTTCTTAAATGCACCCTCATTGATATTCCGCGGTGCAGCGCATTGGTGACCGCTGCCCTGCACACTTTGTTAACATGATTGTAATTGTTGAAGTACATACCTGCTGGTCGCCCGATTCACCGGCGACCCGCACCCCAGGGGCCCCGAGTGCCGAATCTGTGCCCACTAGCGTCAGGATCCTGGCCAGGGACTGCGCTAGTGGGCGCACGGTTGAGCTCCCGCCCCCGGTCCTTCTGTTGATAACGAAAACGACGGAATAAATTTCATTGCACTATCAGCAGACTACAAAGATTACCTTGCGGTCTCGTTGAGCTGTGCAGCTCGCTTCCGCGCCTTGATCACGCGCCGGGACCATTGCTCTTTCCATTGCTTGTAGCTCTTGCTTGGAGGCCCCAGCACGTTCAGGCGCAGAGCGAGGTGCTCCCACAGCCGCCGCTTGTCGTCCCGCGTCAGGGCGGCGGAGAGGTCAGTGGCATTGCGCGCGAGCGACGGGTGCTCACACATGAAGGAGAGTTGCTCCTCCTTCTGAGCAGCCGTCACTCGCGCGCTCCTCGTTGGTCCCGCCGACCCCTCCGCTGCCCCCGGCACCCCCGGCTCCTCGTGGTCCGACCGGTCCGACATCTTTGTTTGAAGAAGGCGCGTGGCGCACATCCCGCATAATATTGGAACAACTTTCTCTCCAATTAATTCTTAAATGTATTGCAAAAGGATACGAAAAAGCGGTTTGTTTTAACAACGCCCAAAAGGTTTTGATTGTTTTTCAATACTTTTATCCGTACTAGAACAGATGCGACGGCCAGCGACGCACAGGATTGGTTGCCGTTCCTTCGCTAGACGCAGGAACTGCTCCCCGCTTCGTAGTAAATCCTACCCCGTATCCCGCGCGTAGGGACGCCTCAGGGAATGCGTAGCTCCTTCCGCTCGTCGGTGGTTGGCTCCGGACGTCGCTCAAACGGGTGACAAGTGTCAAGTTTGCGATGACGTAGCGGCGTCAAAGTGGGCAGAGCCGCCACGTGAGTGTTGCTAGGATACGTTCCTCCTTTCCATTACGTCACTTCCATGTACCTTTTCTCAAATGTCCAACCTAGCGATCTTGCTGTAATGAGTGGCACCAACACCGAACAAGGACCAGATCCGGTACCTCTCCTTTCAACTTCTTGTACACGCCATTCTTAACTCCGGTCATTACGCTTGCATTATCAATTCCGATACCAACCATGTTGGCCAAGGCAATGTTGAACTTCTTGAGAGTGCACTTGATTCCTTCCACGATGCGGTCGGCCGTGCATGCCTCAAGAACACACAGGGAGAAGAAACTCGCGACTACTTTCGTTTTCACCGTGCAGTTAATGACGGCCAGAGGCATAAGTTTGGTTACACTGATGTAATGTTGTGAATAGCTGTGTGTGACTGAGAGAAAAAAAGAACGGAAATAAAATAGAAAAAGAAAAGAGGCAACCGGCCAGCGATGCCGCAGAGTTTATCAATGGCACCGAAGCTGCCGGTCGCCTTCTCGGCAACGAGTATCTGGCGCCAGTCCGGGCCTGCAGGCGCGTCGGTTTTTTAGATTTTCGCCTTGGGTGAAAACGTTCATCGGTCTGGGCAAGCGTCAGCTGTGGCGTTTCTTTTTTTCCCTGGTTTTCGAGTTCCGTTTGGTTTCCCTGCGGTCGGAACTTTTAGAGCGCAGCGCTTAGGCGCCCGTTTTCAGCTCGAGCGGCGTCGCCGTCGGCGTAACCGCGCGGTGCATTATGACTAAATTTTCCCGCTAAATTTAGTGGGAAAGATTCTCCGCTGAATTTAGCGGAAAATTTTCCCGCTAAATGTAGTGAAAGATTGATTCCCCGCTGAATTTAGCGGAAAACTTTCCCCTAAATGGGAGGAGTGTAGGAGAGGATGGAGGGGCATAGCTCCTTTCCGTACCTTCCCCTCCTCCTCCTCAAGAGCTGCGCTCTAATTTGGTTTACAGGGGATTGTAAACGTCTTTCATTTTTTCTTTTGTCGTTTTGGAGTTCCTTTTTGTCTCCGTGCGATCAACCCCTGTGTCGTATTTTCTGAGCGCTCTTTGCCCTCAGAAAATAGGACACAAGGGTTGATCGTGGCTGGGCGTGCCGTGGCTGGGCCCCCACGAGCCTAAAGTTCGAACGTTAGCCAGGCAGTTCTTTCGGTAGGATAAGAAACGCCGATGTCCCGGTTTTCGCGCCGCTGTTCGTAGCGTCCAGCGGTTGGTCTTCTTCGTGCTTTACTTCGTGCTACCGGCACCGATTAGAGTCAAGATGGCGGTCATGGCGACCGGCCTTCCCGATCTTAAGTGACTTGGCGGCCCTTGACTTCGCCCTTTCAAGGGCGGAGCGAACGGAAAGCTGGAATTTGAATTTCTCAGTTTTCAACATTAGAAATCGGTTCTTTACGCTGTCACGTTGACAACCACGTTTTTCAGGCAGCTAGCGCCCCAGGCCTTGCCGGTTTTGTAGTCTGAATATCGTTTAGCGTGTTCGCCTTTCCTATTTGAACCCGGCGGTTCTTGATTTCGGTCGGAGGTTTCCCAGAAAGTGTCCTCTCGTTCAGCTGGCGTAGATTTCTTGTTCCGCCAAAGGATTTCGTTCCGCTTCGTTAATTTTTCGAGAGAATTTCGTGATTTGCTCGTGCGAGCGTTCGGTCCAGTTCACATCGAGTCCGATTGTTGAGACCACTGAGCATAGAGGTTGCGACTGGAAGGCTCATTGTATAAACACAAGTAGGCCGAGTGAGGCTACCCGAGTTTTTACAGTCGTCAACCGTTTCCATTCAAACTTTTTCATTTGGCACCCTGCTACCGTGGAATTTCAGTCATTTTAGCACCCACCTGCCCAGATCTTTCGTTTTCAAGCGACCGACCTTGATGTCACTGTCTACACTATTGCAATGATCTACATCTTTAAAAATGTCGTCACTCCCTACACATAAATACCCTGCCAGTGTCTCTTTAAGCGGTGGCTCACTCATAGTATTACTCACTGTATGGCGAGCCCAGTGTGCGAAGGAACTTGTCCGTTATTCTGCCCCACAATGGCACAAGAGAACATGCATTTCTTGCCTCCACTAGGAGAGCAAAACAAAAAAGAAATATAATAAATGCCGACTTGGCACTTAAAGATAATTCTCCATTCAACTAGTTCACTTTTGGCTGCGCTCGGCGGGACTCGGCTGTGATGGGCTGTGCTGGACTGGACTGGACTGGACGAGGGGTGGTGTTGCAGAGCTAGGAAGGGCTTGGCTGCGCTGGGCTCGGCTGTTCTCTGCAGACAGCAGCAGAATGACCTCGATGAGCACGCGGGTCGTGTTGCGGAGTTCTAGGGTCACCTTCTGCATGCCGCGAGCTTGCTCCTGGGTGACCAGAGCTTGCTCTTGGCTGGCACTCACGACAGCCTCCATGTGGTGGCCAAGGGTCTCCACGCAATGCAGGAGCTGGGATGACAGCGGAAATTGAATACTCAGCTGCAACATAATTCTAGACACCAAGAGGGTGTGAAAACCTTGCTGATGTTACAGATCGGTTTTAATGATGCTTTTGTGGATCTCCATTGCCCTCTTTGCACTCCCACTTCCATGGTGGCATCTTTGTTAAACTCCTACCTATTTAGTCATGTTACTAAGTTTGAGCCAATGCCTGGCCTTGAAATTCCCCGTGCCGCGCGTCCCTCGCCTTGTTCTGCTGCATCTGGAATGACTGCTTTGCAGCTGCCTGCATGGCAGCCTCGTCGTGCCTCTCCTGCCTCGACATCTGTTGTGTGGCGCGAGGCGCCTTTGGCTGCACCCGGGGCCTTGTAGGGGGCTTTATCATCTGGCAGGAAAGAAAGAATAATTGTGCTTATGTCGTGTCACAATCCTAGTTGTCCTCATAAGAGATCTCACTCTCTGAGGTGGAGGACACTGGCTCGGCTGCCTGCTGTCCGTGACACGTCTGGAGACTTGAGGGTCTCCTCTAGAAGGAAATTTATCAGTTCCAGTCAGGATGCAGGGTTTCTCCGCATTTTCTATAGATTGAGAATGGCTATGAGGCTGCACTCCACTTACGGGAAATCAAATTAGACTGTGTCAGAGGCAGTACCAGGCTTTCCTAGCAACTTTCCGGGTAGTAATCGTAGCCGCGGAGGTCGAGGCGTGCCGCAACGGCAGAGAATGTATCCATCACGCCGGAGACAGCTACCTCGTTGGAACACCAGGCGACGGGCAAAACTAAACGGCTGGCTTGGCACGTGTAATAAATAAATAAATAAATTTATGGTTCGGTTTCAGGATGGGCTGGGGCTGCGGCCAGAGAAGCGGGGTGGGTCGGGGCGGCTGACGGAGCTGCGGGGTGGGCCGGGGCTGCGGGGTGGGCCGGGGCTGCGGGGTGGGCCGGGGCTGCGGGGTGGGCCGGGACTGCGGGGTGGGCCGGGACTGCGGGGTGGGCCGGGACTGCGGGCTGCTAAAGTGCCCTGCTGGCCAGCAGGAGGAGCACTTGGAACAGGGTGCTGTTCTCGAGTCCCGAGGCCGTCCTGTCCGGGTTATTAGGGATCCGTCCCAGGACCTCCAGAAGCTGAAATGGCAAAGGAGTTTGAGTAACAGAGGGCAGCATATTTCCATACTCCCACAGTCCGCGACGACCTTGCTCGTGCCACAACTCTGTTTCATTCTGCACTATTGTGGACGTGCACTGCTTTTTGTGGCCTCCTGGCGGCACGTTGGTCTGAACCCTGCTAGTCGTAAGTGCACGTAAGGTTTAGCTTAAGCCCGTAGGTGGCCTCAGAACTCTCTCTCCTCTGCAGCCTGGACCTCGTTGTGTTGCAGTAGCAGGGCATGCTGCTCCACGGCCTGGATGGCTGCCGCGTCGTGCCGCTCCTGCATAGACTGCCCGGAGAGGGGGGGGGGGGGGGGGGGGGGGGGGGAGAGAGGTAGGGGAGGCACGGTGGGCCGCACCTACGTCCCGTGGTCTGGAGTTTGCGTCTGCCAGGAAACCGAGTATAAGTCATGATGGTGCTCTTACCTGCACCACTGATTATATATGTCCCAGTTGCCCTAGCAACTTACCCCGTGAGGTGGAGGGCTCCATCTCGGCTGCCATCTGGCGCCTGCTGCTGCTGCTTGGCCTCTCCTGGAAGGGGAATTTATAACTCGTGAGAACACACAGCGTTGTCTGTGCTTCCCAAGTATTTACCAAAGATAGTGACGAGCATGCATTCTACTCGGGAAAGAACACATTCAGAATGTCAACTAAGAGGCATTCTTACTTCGTTCTTCTGACAACTTTTCCATTTAAGAGGGAGCCTGTGTCCATGCTAAGAAGTGAGTATGGGATATGTCTAGTGCTAGCGTATCGTCTTCCCCCCAAAATTACAAGTAAGACACCACAGGGATTTATTGCAACAGCCAGGAGCAAGGTGTCAAAAATGACGCATCTCTCTGTTTGAGTGTCAAACATTAGATTTCACCACTACATAGACTAAGGTAATGTCTTCCGCTAGAGCTCCCAATATTTGCAAAAGGCCAACGCCTTTCTTAAATGAATCCTCATTTATATACCGCGGTGCAGTGCATTAGAGCCCATTGCACTGCACTGGTAACTCACCCTGTGTTAACGTGATGGTAGTTGTTGAAGTACGTACCTGCTGGTCGTCCCACTCGCTGGGGACCCGCACTCCGGGGGCCCCGAGCGGCGAATCGGCGGCCTCCAGTGTCAGGATCCTTGTGAGGGACGACGCTAGTGGGCGCGCGGTTGAGCTCCCACCCCTGGTCCTTCTGTTGACAATGAAAACGACTCAATAAATTTATTTGCACTATCAGCAGACTACAAAGATTATTTTGCGGCCTCGTTGACCTGCGCAACTCGTTTCCGGGCCTTCATCACTCGCCGGGACCAATGCTCCTTCCACTGCTTAGAGCTCTTGGTTGGTGGCCCCAGTGCGTTCGGGCGCAGAGCGAGCTGCTCCCACAGCCGCCGCTTATCGTCCCGCGTCAGGGCGGCGGAGAGGTCAGTGGCATTGCGCGCGAGCGACGGGTGCTACGAAAAAACCACGAAAGTTTGTCAGATATAATTACAGCAAGGTACTTAAACTTGCGCACTAGTTAAACAAAAGAGCCAGCGATCTTGTAGATAAAGTAAAGGTTTTTTCTACTTTTCTTTTTTAAATGGGTTCGAGTACCGCTGTTGTAGAATTTAGTTCCGTTTTCTAATGATTGTGCAATGGCAATAGATTCCACTTTCACAAGCGGACAAGTTTACATTTGCAAAAATATTTCATCCCCCAAAATAAACAGTTCTTTTTCCAAGTGACTACGTTGCTCAGCTCGTAATCTGAAAGCACAAAGAAATATAAATATCTGACGCACAGAAACCCACTGCGTGCTTGGTGGTGTCATCCAAAATGCAAGCGCATAAAGTGTGAACGTGCGGAGTCTAAAAGATTTTTTTTTTCTTCGGCAGTGACTACAGTTGAAGGCTCATCGGCAGCTCTGTAGGATTCAGCTGTGCCGATGAGCCAGACAACGGCCTCCGGCAGTTCATATTCAAAAGTCGTCTTCTCGTGTCTCTAAGCCCCGCTCGTATTGTCAGAATGGCATTTGCCATTTGAAGGAGCCACCCTCTTACGGAGCTTTGTCTTTTACCAAATTACGTTCAGTAAAAGATTGCTAAACTTGTGCGTTGGAATATGACATTACCGGCATTGCCATAGCGAAGCCCGCGAGAGCACCGAATGGGGTTTTGTCCGGAGGTATTTTGGTACATGTTCACTCCAGAAAGCTTCAGTGTGTGTCTTTGACCATGGTAGAGTCGCAAGTGCCTTGCACTGGCTTTCTATTTGTTAAATCTCGGAACCATGCACACCCAGTGCTTCAAGCAGTGGGATAAGTAATGGCTTTAGTGCACATAACGCCTTCCCTACTGCCAGCCGCGCTGTCTTTCTCGGGATTTCGACGTTGTCGAGCAAACTTTGGTGTATTTGCTGCACAAGTGAACCAACACACTTCATGCACCGTTTTGTCCCTTGTCCTGTATTTCTTTGACGTGTTTTTTCGAAAGGGTAACCCAAATATTTCTGGGGATCTAAATGGTGCTCTACGTTTGTGTTTAAAGCAGAGACCCGCGTTGTGGAAAGGACAAGCTTACGTATCAACGAAATGAGCAGGCGCTCGAGATCTTGCAGCCGCTGCGTCTGCTCAGCCTTCTCTGCTACATATATGTCTTGTTCACTGCTTCAACTTCCGCAAGGATTGGCTTCGGGAACACTAAGTATGCCAAGTTGACGCGTTAGCATATGTTGCATGTAGCATTTCCGCGATGTAGCACGTCACTCAATCTAGCGATTTTAGAGCGAGTCTTCAGATCTATCTTCACATCAGCGATTCGGTTCGATTGATAGCCAGCGTGTAGAATACGCCTGCGCAATCCTAAGTTGGTCTTCTCTAGTAATAGAGAAGTTGTAATGCCTCTTGTAGCCGAATTGTTGTGAAGCTCACGTTGAAAACTAGTAGTACGTCTCGCTGACGAGAAACTCGAGATTACGGTGCAAACAGTGTACCACTGCATCGGAAATGGCCAGCTGTAATGAGTGGCAGCCATACCGAACAAGGACCAGATTCGGTACATCTTTTTTCAACTTCTCGTCACGCCATTCTTAACTCCGGTCATTACGCTTTCATTATCAGTTCCGATACCAACCAGGTTGGCCAAGGTAACGTTGAACTCCTTTAGAGTGCGCTTGATTCCTTCCAGGGTGCCGTTGGCCGTGCATGCCTCAAAAACACACTGAGAGAAGAAACTCGTTACTGCTTTTGTTTTCGCTGTGCTTAGTAGATGATGGCCACAGTCAAAAGTTTGGTTACGCTGATGTAGTGTTGTGAATAGCTGTGTGTGACAGAGAGAGAACGGAAAAGAAAGAATGAAAATAAAAGAAAAGACGCAACCGACCACCGATGCCTTAGAGTTTATCAAGACACCGAAGCTGCCGGCCGCCTTTTCGGCCACGAGTATCAGGCGGCCAGTCCGGGCCTGCAAGCGCGTTGGTTTTTTAGATTTTTGTCTTGGGCGAAACGTTCATCGGTCTCGGCAACCGTTAGTTATGGCGTTTTTTTTTTTTCCTGGTTTTCGAGTTCCGGTTAGTCGCCGTGCGGTCGCAACTTTTAAAGCGTAGCTCTTAGGGCTGAACTCCATAAAGCGAATTATGCGAGGAATAACAGGCGAACGTCACCCGACGGCACGCTCGCTTTGCGCGCGAAGTAGCAGCCACTGTGCTGATTCCACGCGCAGAGCGAAAGCCGCCGTGCCAAATTCGTCGCTTTTTCGCAGCATATCCGTCCCATGGAATCCAGCCTTTAGGCGCCCGTTTTCGGCTTGAGCGGCGTCGGCGTGACCGCGCGGTGCAATAATTATGGGTAAATTTCCCCGCTAAAGTTAGCAGAAAAATTTTCCTGTTAAATTAGCGAAAAATATTCCGCGCTCAATTTAGCGGAAAAATATTTTCCCGCTAAATTTAGCGGAAAAATTTCCTTGGTACATCGAGCGGAAAAAAATCCTACGCTATATTTAGCGGTAAAGTTTCCCCATTTAGCGGGAAAAGTTTCCCCGCTAAATTTAGCGGAGAAGATTTCCCGCTGAATTTAGCAGAAAAATTTCCCCTAAATGGGAGGCGAGCAGGAGAGGATGAGGGGCATAGCCTGCTCCCCGTACCTTCCCCTCCTCCTCCTCAAGAGCTGCGTTCTAATTCGGCGTTACAGGGGATTGTAAACGTCTTTCATTTTTTCTTCCGTCTTTCTGGAGTTCCGGTTTGTGTCCCTGTGATGAACCCTTGTGTCGTATTTTCTGAGCACTCTTTGCCGTGACTGGGCCGCCGTGAGCCTAAAGTGCGAGCGTTAGCCAGGCAGTTCTTTCGATAGGCTAGGAAACGCCGATGTTCCGGTTTTCGCGATGCCGTTCGTAGCGTCCAGTGGTTGGTCTTCCTTGTGCTGCAGGCGCCGATTAGAGTCAAGGTGGCGGTCATGGCGACCGGCCTCGCCAATCTTAAGTAACACGGCGGTCCTTGACTTCAGCCTTCCAAGGGCAAAACGAACGGAAAGCTGGATTTTGAATTTCTCAGTTTCCATCACCAGAGATTGGTTCTTTACGCTGTCTTAAAGGACACATGCAAAGGAAAAAAACATTTTTTTTTAAACAGCTTAGATGGTAAAAGGATGTCATAAAACGATTTTACAACGAAGAAAAAAAAATTTTAGAGCTATATTTACGGCGCTATACGAATTTGTAGTTGGCGCTCGCGGGAGCCGCCGCTGGTCACGTGGTAGGCCCGCGCGCCGCCGCGCTGCGTCGCCGCCGCACGCTGAGCGTTGTGCGAACGCCGCTTCAACGCGTTTCTCCACGCCGCCGTCGCCGCCGCCGCACAAGTTCGTCTGCTTCGGGGCGCCGCCGCCGTCGTCTGGCCGGCGCACAGGTCTATCACGTCTGCTTGCGCTTTTTCAGGAGTTTCCTTTGGGCTTTAAAAGATACTTATTCATCTTAGTTTTTTGTTATACTTCAAACAAAGATGAATAAGTTACTTTTAGAGGCCATAGGAAGCTTCCGAAAGAACGCAAGCACCACGTGATAAATAAAGACCAGTCACGTGATAAATACAGACCACTTTTCCGCGGTGCCCGCGGGCGCCAACTACAAATTCGTTTTGCGCCGTAAATATAGCTCTAAAAATTTTTTTTCTTCGTTGTAAAATCGTTTTATGGCGTCCTTTTTCCATCTAAGCCGTTTAAAAAAAATGTTTTTTTCCTTTGCTTGTGTCCTTTAATGACAGAACTGCGTTCTTCAGGCAGCTAGAGCCATATATCTTGCCGTTTTTGTTGTCTGAATTTCGGATGGCGTGTTCGCCTTTCCTGTTTGAACCCGGCAGTACTTGATTTCGGTTGGAGGCATCCCAGGGATTGTCCCCTCGTTCTGCTGGCAAAGATTTCTTGTTCCGCCAAAGGATTTTGTTCCGCTTCGTTATTTTTTCGAGAGCATTTCGCGATCCACTTGTGCGAGCGTTCGATCCAGTTCACATCGGGTCCGATTATTGAAAACACTGATCATAGAGGTTGCGACTGGAAGGCTCGTTGTATAAAGACAAGTACGCCGAGTGAGGCTACCCGAGTTTTTACAGTCGTCAACCGTATCCATTCAAACGTTTTCATTTGGCACCCTGCTACCGTGGCAATTCAGTCATTTTGGCACCCAGCTGCCCAGATCTTTCGTTTTCAAGCCAGCGACCTTGATGTCACTCTTTACACTGTTGCAATGATCTACATCTTTAAAAATGTCGTCACTCCCTAGACCATAAATACCCTGCCAGTGTCCCTTTAAGCGGTGGCTCACTCATAGTATTACTCACTGTATGGCGAGCCCAGTGTGCACGGGAACTTGTCCGTTATTCTGCCCCACAATGGCACAAGAGAACATATATATTTCTTGCCTCCATAAGGAGAACAAAACAAAAAGAAAAATAATGAATGCCGACTTGGCACTTAAAGATAATTCTCCATTCAACTCGTTCACTCTTGGCTGGGCTCGGCGGGACTCGGCGGTGATGGTCTGGGCGAGTAAATAAAGCGTACTCGTACAGTTTGTTAAGTGTTCTCGTACAGAAGTAATTGGAGAGCTTTGCCAACACTATGAGTAGACTACACAGATTACCTTGCCCTGTTTTTCTAGCTCTGCAGCCCGCGACCCCGCGCCTTCGAGACCCGCAAGAACCCATGCCTCTTAGTCGGAGGCGCGAAGAAGTTGAGCCGGGAGGTCAGCTGGTTCCAGATACGAACCTTGTGTCGTCTCTGGTCAGCGCCGGGCTCAGTTCAGCTGCACCGCGTACGAGGGAGGGTGTGGAAGCAGCCTAGAAAGCGACCAGCCAAGTCGGAGTCACATTGCAGAACTGTTTTAATTCTCGAGCAGAAAGAGAGAGAGAAAAGAGAAGAAAAGAGACGAACAAACCAACAGACAGACAGAGCGCGCGCAGCACAGCGCGCGCTCTTGGCGCGTGCCGTTCGGCAGCGGTGCAGGTGTAAGGGGACCGCTGCCACAGATGCCAGCAAAGAAGGAACAAACAAAAGAGGGAAGAATTTAGATCGTACAACTAAACATAACATTTTCCCCTCCCTTCTTTTTTTTTTTTTTTTTTAAGAGTGTAGGAACAAGACGATGAAAAAAGCATTATGCACGCATTTACAACAGCAAAAATCAAGAGCAAGATAAGCACAGTTTAAATGAAGCACCCAAATAGTTCACTCTACGTCGAAAACACAAAAGGAAATAGTTCACTCATTTCATCGAGTACCAAGGTCTCCATACCGCACTGGTGGTCGACGGTTCCGCCCCGAGCGCCTTAGAAGCACCTGCCTAGGACACTGAGAAGTTCCCATTCCTAGAGGCGTGTCCGGGGCAGGTCTGCACTCAGGCGTCCGCGATCGAGGCAGCTGCTGCATGGCCGAACTTGACTCTTGAGGTTGCCAAGTATGATGCCTGTGGTACGCGTCACCTGGAGTAGCAGTGTGGCTCGCGGGCTGGCCACCTTGAACGGCAGCCGGTGTCCCCTGCTGATCACTTCCTAGACTGGGATCGGAAGCAGCTGCGAGTTTAGAGGCATTCCACACTCTACCATCTCCCAGCCGGAATGTCCACCGACCGACCCGCTTCATGATGCGTAGTGGCGGCCCGAAGGCCGACTCCCCCTTGGCTACCTTTCCTGGTTTCTTCACTCTAACCCAGTCGCCTACCCTGAATCTGGGGCTCTTCGCCGCTCGACGCCGGTCGGTGTACTCCTTCGTGTACTGCTGCCTCTGCTGCACTCGATGTCGCAGCCGTTGCAGCTCCTCGATGGGATTTTGCAAGAACTGCGCCGACGACAGTCCGAGGATGTTAAGGCGGGTGCGAGGCTTCCGTCCATGCAGCAGGAGAGCAGGAGAAAGTCCAGTCGTGGCATGGGGCGTGCAGCGATATATCATCAGGTAGTCTACAAGGGATGACCGGATGCTGCTCCGCTCAAGGGTGGCGCACTGGAGAAAACCCTTCAGGGTACGGTTGAAACGTTCAACCTACCCGTTGGACTGGGGGTAGTAGACAGAAACCAGCTGGTGCTTTATACCTCGCGCTTTAAGGAACGTCTCAAATTTGCCTGAAACGAACTGTGGCCCATTGTCGCTCACAATGCTGTCAGGGTACCCCTCTCTGGCAAAGATGGCGCGCAGAAAGTCCGTGATCCTCCCCGTGGTGACGTTTGGGCAGAACTGTACCTCGGGCCACTTGGAAAAGTAGTCCACCAGCGTGATGGCGTAGCGACACGCAGGCTCCGCTCGCTCAAAAGGGCCCACGACATCGATGCCCATCTTTGACCAAGGTCGCTCTGGCAAGGGCACTGGCTGGAGAGGGGTCGGTGACGTCTTGGCACTCTTGTCTGAGGTGTTACAGATTTTGCAGGCGCAGACTGCACTACGCACTTCTGCGTTCATGCGGGGCCACCAATAGAGCTCACGAAGGCGTGCTTGCGTCTTGACAATGCCGTTGTGGCCCTCGTGTGCTCTGGCGACAAGAGCGCATCGCATAGTCGTGGGGATGACGAATTGCTCTCCGCGCAGCAGGAGACCGTCGTTGACGGAGAGCGCATCCTTCAGGTCGTAGAAGATGGCCGCATCAGCGGAGAGAGCGCTCACTGGAGGCCACTTAGAGGTCACATATCCCATGACAGTGGTGAGCAGAGCGTCATTCGCTGTCTCCTCTTGCAGCTGTTGCTTCGTGATGCACTCTTCGTCTAAAGCGACAAAGGAGATGATCTCGTCGTCGAACTCCATCCCCTCTTCTTCCTGTGACATCGGCAAGCGGGACAGGGCATCTGCTACCTGGTTTTCGGCACCTCGCTGGAACTCCACCGTGAAGTTGTACTTCAGTAGGCGATGTGACCAACGGGTGATCCGTAGCGGGCGACGTCATGCTCCTCCGGTGGACAACAAAGACACGAGTGCTTGATGGTCCGTGCGAAGGGTAAAGTGGCGGCCCCATAAGTATATGTGCCATTTTTCGCAAGCCCACAAACACGCAAGCGCTTCTTTTTCCCCGACCGAGTATCGCCGCTCTGTCGAAGTGAGCGTCCTTGAGGCGAATGCGACAGGGAAGACGCCGTCACCATGACGCTGCTGCAGCACAGCCCCAATGCCGTATGCCGACGCGTCTGTGGCCACGATGGTGGGCAATGTGGGGTCGAACATTCTTAGTGTCCTGGCAGATGACAGCAGCCTCTTGACTTGGTTGAAGCTTCTGTCCGCCTCGTTGTCCCAGACGAACGGAGTGTCTTTTCGCAGGAACCTTCGAAGAGGTTCGACCTCAGATGCTAACCGAGGCACGAAGCGAGAGTAATACTCCACCATCCCCAGAAAAGAACGGAGTTGGGTGATGTCCGTGGGGATAGGGGCAGCGTTGAGTGCATCCACCTTCGTTTGTAGCGGAGCAATCCCTTGAGCGCTCACTTTATGACCCAAAAACGAAAATTCTGGCACATCGAATAGGCACTTGTTGTTGAGTTTCAGTCCAGCATCCGATATACGCCGCAGCACCTCACGCAGACGGTGTGTGTGCTCCTCCTTGGTCCTGCCAAAAACAACCACGTCGTCAAGGTAGACCAACACACCTTCGCAGTCGTGAAGCATTTCCGACATCATCTGCTGGAAAGCTGCTGGCGCCGATGCCAGTCCGAAGCATACTCTCTTGAACCGAAAGAGACCTTCGTGTGTAATAAATGCGGTTAGGTCCCGGCTATCTTTATGTAGCGGCACTTGGTGGTAAGCAGCCGCTAAGTCAAGCTTGGAAAAATGTTTGGCACCATGTAAAGCATGCAGAAGTTCTTCTAAGTGCGGAAGAGGAAAGCTATCAATAACGACAGCTTTGTTGGCTTCCCGCAGGTCCACGCACATTCGAATTGAGCCGTCTTTCTTCTGCACCACCACAATTGGTGAAACCCATTCGGAGGAATTAATCCGCTCGATGACCCCAGCCGCTTCCAAGCGTCTGATTTCTTCTGATACTGACTGACGCGCTGCTAGAGGAATACGTCTCATTCGATGACGGACGGGAATGACAGAAGGTCGAATGTTTACCTTGTGGACAACGTCCTTGACACGGCCAAGACCCGGACTGAAGAGGTGCTCGAAGTTGCTCATGGAAGGCGGCAGGTTTGACTTTGCTGGTTCAGGCACCACTGAAGCTGCAGCCTGTGGTGGAGACGATGCTGAGGCCAGCTGATTTTGCACCCTTGCCGACCACTCATTCCTCAATGCACTTGACGCTTCGTCCTGTGGGGCCGGTGTCAACCTCTGGTCCTCCTCTCTCGGCGGGTCGCCAGAACCCTCTGTATCAGTATAGAAGCACGACCGAGTGGCGCCACTTATCTGGATGTCGAGGGCTACAACAGCGTCCATGCCGAGTAAAGAGGTACCACGGTCAGCAATGTAAAAAAGTACTGTTGCCGTACACTCCCTGAACATTACCGGTGCCTCGAATGCTCCCAGAATGGTGATGGGTTGCTGAGAAAAGTTCAGGAGCTTCACAGGTGGTGGTACAACTGTCGCCTTGCTCGCGAAATACCGGACGAACATGGCACTCTCCACGATGGAGACGGCTGTCCCCGTGTCAAGAAGAAACTGCAGCGTCGAGTCAAATACCTGGATGTTTATGTACAGCTTGCTTTGAGAAGGTCCGGAAATGTGGGACACCTCCCACTGCTCGTCGTCGTCATCGTAGTAGTCGTCGACGATCTGCTCAACCTGATCACGCGGGCGGCGCAGCAGGGATCGGCGAACACTTCTACAAGCGCGTGAAAAATGTCCCCGACGACCGCAGTTGTCGCAGTGCTGACCTCTCGCTGGGCAGACGTCATAGCCCCTGCAGTGTTCCTGACCGTAACCGCAGTTGGGACATGTTCTTCCGTAGCCGTAGTTCCGCCTTGGAGATGGTTGCCGCCGCGGTGATTCGAAACGCACCGAACGCCGAAACGCCGATCGTCCAGGGCTCTGTTGACGACTGCCACGGTCGAAACCACCATAGCCGCTACGGCCGCAGGTTACGCAGCTCTGCTGGCTAGGCGAGCGCGAAGCGCGTGCGTTCACTGACCGGGCTGAAGCAGCTGAAGAACGCCCCGTCGGAGATCGCATAGGTGACTCACGGCGCGAGCGCCACGGCTCGTGCAAAGATGACATCATCGGCTGAGGTTGACTCGTTGCGCGCCCTGTGACGTGGCAGGTCACGTGCTCTTCCGACGCCGTCGACAGCGCAGCTGGCGCAGTTGCCGATGCCCATTCTCGAACTTCCCGGCGTGAGCGTTCCAAATTAAGGACAGTCTGTAAGGCCACGCTGAATGGCAGCGCGGCGTCAAGTACCAGGCGTTCTTGAATCTCTGCGGAAGCAGCACCCACCATGAACTGTCGGCGGATGACGGCCTCGGTGTCGGCACCGAAGTTCGCCGGCACGGCCAATGATCGGAGTGCTGAGAGAAAGTCGCGCAGATATTCTCCTTCTTGCTGTTTTCTCATCTGAAACCGGAGTTGTTGCAGGGTCTCGTTGACCGGCTGCGAAAATTCAGCCTCGAGGACCGTGAGGGTCTCTTTATACACGTCGCGAGACGCTTGCCGGGCTTGCTGACCGTCTCCCGCCGGTGACGTTGCTGGCGCCGGTCCAACGGGAGCTGGTAGAGAGTCATAGATGCGCTGGCCTTCGACCCCCAGGCAGTTGAGCAGCTTTGCTTGGCGTCGTTCGGCGGAACATTCCTGAGCGCCAGCAGCCAATATGTATCGCTCGAAAATTCGTAGCCACGATTTCCACGGTATCGGTGGCGTACCGGCCTTGTCCAGGAAGTTTGGTGGTGGCCGGTCACAGTCAGCCATGCTTGCGGCTAAGATGTCGGCTCAGGAATCGAGGAAGACGTTCGAAATGGAACGCACGGCCATTGACAACCAGCAACCGAGGTTCTCTGGTGAGCCCGGAATTCGTCGGAAGCAGGAGTCGTCGCGACGCCAGGCACCCCTGCCGACGTGAGCTTATGCCGAACGACGCACGTTTCCTCTGGGAGTGAGAGTGCCCAGGTTCAGCACCCTCGTCGCCAAAACTGTGGAGGCAGCCTAGAAAGCGACCAGCCAAGTCGGAGTCACATTGCAGAACTGTTTTAATTCTCGAGCAGAAAGAGAGAGAGAGAAAAGAGAAGAAAAGAGACGAACAAGCCAACAGACAGACAGAGCGCGCGCAGCACAGCGCGCGCTCTTGGCGCGTGCCGTTCGGCAGCGGTGCAGGTGTAACGGTGCCGCTGCCACAGATGCCAGCAAAGAAGGAACAAACAAAAGAGGGAAGAATTTAGATCGTACAACTAAACATAACAGAGGGGTTCTTGAACATCGATGTATCGAGCTCCTTCCTTTCGGGCCGCGGTCGTACGTCTGTTCCCGTCTTCCGTGTCGTTTGGACAATAGTCACTGACAACCGTAAGGAACGCAGGGTAGTCTGGAACCTTATATTATTGCTCCGGAGCCAATGAAATTGCTGCATTAGCCGATGAGAACGCCGACGAGCGAATCGTGACGCAAGAGGAGTGATAAGGCTGCTGACTGGGCGAGTTGGTAGTTCATGTCGAATAACGTAACAGCGCACAACTAGAGAAACACTTGCAAACTCAGACACACCAAAAAAATACACTTACTCTGCGCTGACTCACAACTCTTGTATTTGTATTGTCTTCTCCTTCTATGCAAAAAGACTCACCTCCTCTTTTTCTATGCCCTAGGAAAGAGATGACGACCTCAAATAGAGATTACAAAAATTAGAACCCAATAAAATTGAGGAATTATTTAAACATAAAAAGAATAAATATTAAAAATTAAAAAGTAAAGAAAAATAAAGACTTCTCACTGCTGGTGCCTAGGAGAACTTTTGGTTAAATACTCCAGCTCTCTTAGTGAGAGAGTTAAAGAAGGCCTGCTCATACACTTGTCACTGTGTCCTTCCATGCTTGCTGCTTCGATAATCTCCCTGGTTAGCTGATTGGGGCTCCTTCCCAGCACAGTGCGGTTACTCATACGAGCCGAACACCCACAGTCCCTACAGTGTACTTCCAAATGTGCAGAGTTGGCGTTGACGACGTTGTTGGCATGCTCCCGAAGACGGTCCGTTCACACACCTACAGTCTGTCCTATGTAAACTCGCCCACAGGAAAGTGGGGTGGAATAAATTACTCCTTCTACACACGGAACAAAGTTGGTTCGGTGCTTTTCGGTGCAACTTACAGTGGTATTTGAAGTTGGAATTTACCTTTATACACAGGCTGTGGAGTTTTTTTTGGGGCCGAAAATACTACATCTACATTAAATCTATTCGCTGCCCTCTTAAGGCTATGAAAGAACTCATGCATGTATGGAATTACCACCGGTCTTCTTGGCTTGTCCCTGGGGTTTCGATTCACGCTATCTATCACCTTGCTTGATCTCTTTAAGGAGCCTTTCAACAACTGACGTCAATGAGAAATCTTGATATTCTGCGGACTTTACCTTGCGACTGGCCCAGTGAAGCTCTTTTCAATTGTGTGTGTGCACGATTTGGTGATTGAATTCTTTAGACACATCCTCACGACGCCTTTCTTCACTAGTTTGGAGTGCGTTGAGTGGAATGGAAGGAGTGGTTTATTCCCTCTCGGCTCATAAGACCAGCATACATGCCGAGCTAACACTCCTAGTCTAAGGTCAAGGAATCTTAATGACCCTGCAACCGGGAGTTCATAAGTGATTTCCAAAGGTTCGATACAATTTTTAAAACTGACGGTAACTTCGGTCACTAAGGCATTAAAGCTGTTGTGGATTGTGTCTACGAATATTAAGAAATCATTCACATACCTACACACCTTCACTACTTTTGACGTATCTAACCTTTCTTGTAGAATTCTGTCATGGTGTGCTAAATAGAGGTCACTGAGGACCGGGGCAATGCTAGATCCGATGCATATCCCTCTCTTCTGAAGATGTATGCCCCTCCCAGGTAGTGAAGGTGGTCTTGAGATAAATGGCGACCAAAGTCAAACACTGGCTTTGGGAAAGACCGGCGCTGTCTGGAAGGAAAGGGCACCAAAGGCCCCCCGCAGGGGGCACCTGTGAAAGCAGGGGTTTGGAGAGTGGCGTCTCCACGGACTCCGAGCCATGCGGGTTCGCCCGCCCACGTATGGCTGTGCGTGGCTGTCCCGTGTCTGGGGAAAAGGGCATCCTGGTGGTTGAGCCGAGCCCGGGGTAGGTTTGGACCCTTCGGGGCCCCCCGGGCGAGGCAATACACCACTTCGGCCCCCGCTTCTCATAGACGGGAGTCCTGGTAAGGCCCGGCCAGGATGATTCAGTCTAGTCGCCACTTCTTCTACTATCCCCTCTTTTCTTTCTCTTTCCTCCTTTCTCCTATTCTTCGTTTTCACCTTCTTTGGCGGCAAGGGCTAACCTTGGGTGGCAACAGAACTCTTTCTTGACCCACACTTGGTTATAGCATCCTGGTAGCACTGATAGAGTAACATACTTAGACAAGCCAGACCTGTTCTGAGATGTTACCTATCCCCTTGTTGGACTCCGTGGTGGGTGGTGCGCTACGGACGCCGAAGTTTTTTGCCCTTCATATGGCGCCCCTCCCTTCTAAGCTCCGTTCAAGGCAGGCTTCCAAGAGGCCTCGCCCTGAGCCCCAAGTCATTGGAAAAGCCCCTGAAATGGGAACATTTACAAAGTTTTTTGAGATTCACTCGAACCTTGAAGAAAAACCAGTGTCCAAATTGTCTCCCTTTGTTGTAGCCAAGGTGCTAGAAAACCTTATTGGGTTCTCGTACAAAGCAAAAAAACTCCACTCCGGCGACCTTCTCGTCGAAGTAAACACGAAAGCCCAAAGTGAGGCACTCTCCAAGATGACCAGCATAGTTGACGTCGAAGTGTCCGCGAGTCCTCACCGGACGCTCAACACGATCCGTGGAGTCCTTTCTTAAGACGACTCCCTCGATGCTAGCGAGGAAGAAATCCTGGAAGGACTGAAAGATGCCGGTGTTGTCGCCGTTAAACGTATTATGTTCCGAAAGGATGGCAAGGAAACCCCGTCAAAGCACGTGATCTTGACCTTTGAGAGAGACACCCTCCCTGAAACTGTGAAGGCAGGCTATCTCCAGTGCCGGATCCGTCCCTATGTCCCCAACCCGCAACAGTGCTTCCGCTGCCAACGCTTTGGGCATGGGTCACGCAGTTGCCGAGGGAAAAAAACTTGTGCGAAATGTGGAAACCAGGAACATGTTGCTGACATCTGCGAGGCAGCGGCCCGCTGTAGTAACTGCAGTGGGCCCCACCCAGCTTACTCCCGCACCTGTCCCCTTTGGCGTCAAGAAAAAAAATCCTTTCCCTAAAGGCAAAGGAGAACATCACCTACCTGGAGGCTAAGAAGAAGCTGTCCTTCCTCTCAAAAGGAGGTTACGCCGAGGTGGTGCGAAGGGGCCCTGCACCATACTTGGAGACTAGGGCCACCCAGGTCTCTCCTGAGATCTTGGCGGCTGACCTAAGGGCCCCATCCCTTCGACAGGAGCAGCATGCTGCTCCCCTGGGCAAAGGTGGGCCGGCAATAGCCGTGCCCGGCCTACCCTTCAAGACTGTGGCGCAGGGTCAGCAGGCTTCCTGTTCTCGCAGACAGGGCGCTTTGGCTGCTTCCTCTGCTCAGGACAGGCCAGCACCGTCTGCACCTGTCAACACTGGCCGCCCTCCTAAAAAGGAGAAGAAGCGAGGCCCTCGGCCTCAGTCCCTGGAGAAGCAGCCAGCAACCAAGGAGCTGCGTGGCTCGCACGCAGCTTCCCTGCCGGGTAAAGAGGTGGAACAGATGGACGGGGTAGAACCCCTCCCCAATACATCGACCACCTTTCCACCTAGTTCTGGTCGTGGTCGCGGATTGGGGCCCCGCGGCACAGACCCTCCCGGGCTAGCAGGCAAGTCTGCCTGCGAGGCTCAGGAGAACACTGGCGCTGCCTTGTCTGCCCCCTCATCGACTCCGGGTTCTGACCAGGATGAGATGGAGTGGCAGACTACAAAGAAACAAAAATCGAAAAAACTCGTAACTCCTCCGAAGTGAGGCAACTGACTCACTTTTCCATGTGCTCCGGTTTTCGTGCCTAAAATGGCTTCTGTACTCATACAGTGGAACTGTCGTGGCCTTCTAAGAAACCTGGATGATGTAGAGCATCTTCTGGAGGAGTACAAGCCACGAGCGCTGTGCTTGCAAGAGACTCATTTGAGTCCCAGCCGTACTAATTTCCTCAGACGTTACCAGGTTTTCCGGGGGGATCGTCCGAGCTCTGTCAGTTCCTCTGGGGGAGTTGCGGTGGTTCTCCCGAGAGAAGTTCCCTGCACAGAGGTTCCACTGTCCACACCACTTGAAGCAGTGGCTGTTCGGTTCTTGCACCATAAGGCTTTACAGTATGCTCTTTATATCTGCCACCTTCCCTTACTTTGAAATGTTCAGATTTTAACTCGTTGTTAGACCAGCTTCCTGAGCCTTTCCTTTTGATGGGCGATTTTAATTGTCACAACCCTTTATGGGGGAGCACACGTCTGGATGTCAGAGGAAAAATTGTTGAGTCAGTTTTAACCACACGAAGTCTTTGTCTTTTTAATACGGGCCAGCCAACCTATTTTAGTCCATCATCCTTGTCATGAACTTCCATCGACCTTTCAATTGGTTCTGCTAGTTTACTTCCTGATTTTTCCTGGAGTGTGGATTCCAATCCACGTGGAAGCGATCATTTTCCTACTATTTTAACCTGTAGCATAGCCCCTCTTTTAATTCATACACGCCCGCCTCGTGGGAAGCTTGACAAGGCTGATTGGGGCCTTTTCAAGCAGGCATCGCTTTTAGCATATGCTCGTCTCGA